TGCTGCAGGGCCCATGGTAGCAGCTGCCTGCACAACTTGGGATCTCCCGGCACAGAAGGAGACTTGTAAAATTCAATACAGCCACAGGCTCTCATAACTCTCTTGCAGATTTTTCTGCTGTTTTCTTGGGGATGGAAAGTGAGGAATGGGGGAATTATATACCTAGAGTGCTGAGACCTGGCATGCACCACCTCCCAGGCACAGATGTTGCCCTCTATCTGGAGCATTGCAGCTCTTCTTTTTTGCTGTTTGTTATTAATTAAATTCTAATGTCGCTCTTTAGATTGCCCCAGGTAGGCTTTGAAAATCATGCCTTGGTGCTGGGGAGGGCAAGAGGAAGAGCAGGGATGATTGTTCATCTTTACTCTTGCTGTTTGGCTGGCAAAATATGTGCAAGAATGTACTGGCGTAGCTGCCCCGTGGGTTTCTGTTGCTGAGTGTGTCCAGGCAAAGACAAAAATGTGCAGAATAGTGTGTCATAAATTAAAAAAACAAGCAAGCGTCTACAGATGTATGTTCTGTGAGTGTGTGTGTATGTATGCGTCTGGTGAACCTGCAGTTTTCCTTATTCTCACGCCATTTTGGAGGGTTTTTATCATCTTGCTGTCATACATCATTTTCATGATAAATATCTATTATACATGGAGAAACCTGAGAGCAACAACGGTCAATGAAGTCTGTCTGTAAGGAAAACCACCGTGTTCTTAACTTGAGATGAAGACAGGCCAGATTTATGAGGAAGGGCAATATACTTTGTTAGACCAACTGATACAGCTGAAAAAAACAGACCAGCTCTTGAGTGCACATTCTTCTCCACATCTCCAATGGTCTTAGACATACATGGCTACAATAACACTACTATAGTATTGTTTGTATAAATTAGGAGCTTTCCATAACAAATGGGGTCCCCTGTAGAGGTAGGCTATGGCATCGTATACACATCCCTGTCTGGCCTTGGAGACAAGGAGGGATACTTAGGACAGGTATTTTTATTATAATAAAGAAGGTGAGCAGTCATCTAGCTTCCATTCTTAACAGTGCAGCTTTGTTTGTAGGAGTTTCATTAGTTCTTCAGTCATGAGAAGTCTGAGTTTTATTTCCATAAGTGGAGTTTTGGGGTGTTCTCTTAGCTCTTTGCTTGGTCTAAACTACCAGTGCACGTCAACCGCTTACACCTACACATTAGGTGTTGCCTAATCAACATAACTGTCATTCTTTTAGCTTGAATGAAATCGACAGTGTACTTACAGGCTTGTCTTTCCTTCAGTTTGCTCATAAAGGGTATTTGCAGTATCTTGAGCTTAAGCAGCCTGTTTCAGCATTTTAAACTAGCGTTTTCTCAGCCTTTTGGACATGTTTAGCTACATAGACTTAAAGTGAAAGTGGTTTTAACCAGCTCAACCCATAGGTGTGAACAAATTTTCAGTGTTTGAGGCTATTCCAGAACTGAAATCTTGTTATAAAAGACGATGATAAAAATAGTTCTAATATAAAAAGTAAGCAAGAAAACTCAAAGCTTTTGGATCACTTTTAGATTTCTTCAGCGTCTTCCATCCATAACAATGCTTAAATAGAACAAAAATGTGCAAGTCCAGCCTTTTTTTTTAATTCTTTCTGTTTTGCAAGTCAGCGTTAATAAATATGTAGGAGAAGCTGGGGGGAGGAGGCAGGGAGGAGGCAACTCAGACTGAACGCCAGCTTTTCTCCGAGGTCTCATATTGCAGAGCACTTAGATCAGTAAAGTGAGGGCTAGCAGGACTCTCCTGTGTTATTGGACGTTGCTAGTCTAATTTCTGGAAATGTACTTCCCAAACAGTCCCAGCTGTCCCAGGAATGCAGTTTAACCATTGTTGTTCATAGTTCTCAATTGGAAAGAATTAAAAAATGTCATTCTGACCGAAGATTTATGCACTGAGATTACAATGACTGAATACCAGGAGCTAGGTGAAGTTTGTATCTGCTTTCACACTTGGGCTAGGCCCTCCCTCCTTTTTGAGCAAATGACACAGTACTATATTTTATTCTGCTCTTTAAAAAAAAAAAAAAAAAGGAAAAAAGATTGCTATTGTAATAATAACATTTGCGTCACAGATGATAATTTTTTTGCTAGTTGCTGTTGAAAGCAGCTGACAAAAAAAGCTCAGGAATGTGGAACTCTAGGGAAGACGAGGCTTAGAGAGTAGACGCTCTATCTGGTCTCCTATTTTAGTGTCTCAGAAGGATAAAAGTTCTCACTATTTCTCTAATTATAATAGAGAGATTTCAGTCTGTGTTTGAATCTTAATTTTGAAGGTTCCTAACAGTAAGTTTCTTTTACTGCCATCATTTGTCAATGCATTAATGTACTGATAGTGCCAGACTTTGGCTCCTGATTAGAACTGATGCACAGTACAGAATTGCAGAGCTATTAACTTCTGAATCCATACCACAGACTTGGGTACCTAGATGGAAAAAAAAAGACAATTTACTTTTCAGGCAGCACTGTCCTAGAGTAACTGTTTTGGAGTCTTCTAGTTAGTTGCTGTTGAGACTTAAAGCTCCCCTCCAAGCAGAAGAATTAATGTGCCTCTCAGCACCTCGTACCTACTATGGTTGATTGCTTAGAGTGCGCCAGAAAGTTCTGGGCTTGCATAAAAAATGTGAAGGTTTTTGTTTCTGTAAGTTGCTACAGCTCCCATGCCTTGAAATATGTCAGCAGTCTTAATTTGATCATTAGTTATATAAATATGAAAGTTGTGGCATGAAAGAGGCTTTCCCCCTAGGATAACCATATGTGTCCATACCTTTATGTCTAGGTCGGATGGATTAATACGTACATTATTTCAGGGGGGAAGAATCGTCATGCCCTAGGTGCTGCTGCAGTGTTTCCCCTAGCTGTCCCAGGGCTGCCACCAATGCACAGCGTGGGGTGCCGGTAGGGAGTTTCTCTCTGCTTCTCCCCAAGGCAGCCATAGTCCCAAAGGGGCCGTTATAGAGGCCAAGAGTAAAAGTCTTTGCAGGTGGGGTCTAAGCCCCACACAGCCGCTCACTTGATTCCCCCTGGTGGGATGGGGGAGAGAATTGGAAGAGTAAAAGTGAGAAAACCCGTGGGTTGAGATAAAGACAATTTAATAGGTAAAGCAAAAGCTGCGCACGCAAGCAAAGCAAAGGAAGGAATCCATTCACTGCTTCCCATCAGCAGGCGGACATTCAGCCTTTTCCAGGAAAGCAGGGCTCCATCACGCATAATGGTTACTTGGGAATACAAATGCTATAACTTTGAAATCCCCCCCTTCCTCCTTCTTCCCCCAGCTTTTATTGCTGAGCAGAATGTCATATGGTCTGCGATATCCCTTTGGTCAGCTGTCCTGGCTGTGTCCCTTCCCAACTTCTTGTGCACACCCAGCCTGCTTGCTGGCGGAGCAGCATGAGAAACAGGAAAAAAAATGCCTTGACGCTGTGCAAGCACTGCTCAGCAATAGCTAAACCATTCCTGTGTTATCAACACTGTTTTGGTCACAAATCCAAGACATAGCATCATACAAACTACTATGAAGAAAATTAACTCCATCCCAACCAAAACCAGTACACTTAGGAAAGGATAGTTCTATTGCAGAAACAGCCTGTCCCGGATTTTGTGCCATATCTAGGTATCTGTTCATTAAAATGTAATTTCTGTAGTTGAGTATTTTGTACAAACCTGGTGGGAGAAGAAATACACAGCCAAAAAATAAGTGTGTGTTAGTTGTTGGCAATAGCAACACCAACAGCTCAAAACCAAACAAAATACAGAAGTGCTGTTCTGAAGAGCTTGAAGCCAGAAGTGTTTCCTAAGGAAGCATCAGCCAAATAGCCACTACCTTGTGTTGTTGGTCTGTAGCCCAGCTCTCTTTGTCCTTTGTTTTATTTAGCTACAGGAAAATAATTGAAGCGATGAGTCCCCATTCTCCACTTCTATTGACTTTCTATTTTTTCCCTTTCTTCACAAAAAAATCATTTTGTGAGTAAGTAGAAGGCTCCTAGGGCACTTGTCCCTCGAGGGGATAGACAGAAGACTCATTTCGAAGTAGAAACTACTATCAGGCATAAGGGAAAGTGTCCATTAGTTGTCAGCAGTATTTGTACATTTAAAAATAGTTATTAGATTGCTACAGTCATGTCATGTGTCCTGATGCAGTGCAGGGAAACCTATACACTCGCTGTTGCATGACATACATAAAAGAAATTTTGTGCAAGAGTTACATTGAAATTACAACCCTGTATTGTTGTTAAGCTTATGAATCCGCACTTCTCTCTCACTGAATTGCATGTTGTATCTCACCCTTGCGCAAACAAGGCAGGTTAGGGGGAGAATCATGGGAAGTAAGCAGGAGATGAGAAGCAACATCCTCAAGAGGAGCACACGGGGAATCTGGAGACCTTTGCTCTTTCGTCTCCTTCGCCAGGGACCTGCTAGGCAAATTTAAGCAGCTCAATGTCTCGGCTTTTCTCTTTGTTTAAACTGAACCAGAACACTGCAAAGCATTGTGTACAATACTGTAGAGGTCTGCAAAGCATTGTGAAGTTTAAATACTAGTATTTTATTGTAGTAGTAACCTGAAAATATTACCAGGGTGCAGATTGGTTTGTAAATGCTCTTTTTTCTTCTGTTTGGAAAAGCTGTAAGCTTCTAGTTTGTGCATTAAGACTTCAGTAAGGCACTTAAGCACGCATTTGAAATTAAGCATGTGCATTAGTCCTTTTCTGAATACACAAAGCTATTAATTAGGGCTTGTAGCAAGGCTGTTTGATTGTCTAAAGTATGAACAGAATGTGGTTGCGCTTTTCAAGCACATACGTATCCTGTTGGAAAAAATTAATAAATAAAACCCCTCCAGTTAGTCATGCACTAGTGTGACCTTCCATCGCTGAGTCCCCCTCTTACCTTGCTATGCGTAACACTAAAGTAGGTTATGATCAATATGGTTAGTGCAGTAAGTGAATGTAATGATGCTAATGAGCCATTTCTTTATAATGATCAGGTTCTCCAGCCCTGCCCAGCAACATGGTATATTTTGGAAGCTCTCAGGATGATGAGGATGAAGAAGAGGAGGAGGAGGAGACAGAGGACACAAAAACAGCCACAAACAATGCTTCATCATCATGCCAGTCAACCCCCAGGAAAGGAAAAACGCATAAACATGTACCAAACGGGCAAGGTAGGCCCTAAATAGTGCTGCTGTTCTGCACTGCCTGGTAAAGAAATTTATGAGCTAATGTGTTTAATCCTCGTCCATCCTTCTGGATCTGAGTGAAAAAGGATACAGGCCATAACGAGAAAATGGACTGAGATGTAGTGTTAGCATCTTCTGCTTTAACCTGTTTCTCCTGACAATCTGAACTCTGACTGTGGCAGAACTATAACTGCAGGGCTGGAAATATATATATATACACGCACACACACACACACACACATATATACTGGAGTTATACATGCACATATGTGTATAGACACACAGAGTCACTCTGGCTTTTTTTGAGACTGATGTTTAATCTAGAATGATTTTATTTAATCGAAATTAAATATAAGCATTCTTATGCGTTATCAAAATCTGTGACAGGGGCAACACTTAATTTCTCACATGCAATATTGATACCATAATTGCAGTAGGTTAAGATACTGCATTCATCTTGTTGATTGAAAGATTTTATGGAAGAAGCTTTTTCAAGTCAGTTATTTTTTTGCAAATCAACAAAGGCTGCATTCATTACACAGTATTTCTGTCACAGTGTCCTCGTGCCAGATCTTGATAAATGGATCCGTGTATGTTGCAACATCACCTAGTGTAAAACGGAAGACCTAAAAGCCACGCTGAAAATTTTCTGAGCCTGTTATAATGCTCCACTGCCAAAGTCCTGTGTGATGTGGTTCTCTCTCCAGCAAGAGCTCTTGTATCATAACAACTCTGTGCCCTCTCTGCCTGACATAATTTCAAAATTGAGCCTGTGCTCTCCATCCCCTTCCTCAGTGTTAGTTTACCATGAAAATCTTTCCTGCTAGTGACTGCCCATTCAGCTCTCCTCCTCTTAGTAGGAGTAGTAGGAGGACCGAGAGGAAGGTCTCTCTACAGTGCACTTTTTGAGACATGGTTGTGACCTGTTACTGATTTTTTTGATTGTTTGTTTTTTGGTTTTGTTCTTTCATGCTACTCTCTGCTATGAAAAAGAGATTAGTAGATCCCAATTATTTCACTGTGCTGGTCCTCATCGCTGCTTTTCAAAAGGGAGTTTTCTATAAAAGACACCCTTGTTACATATACCAAAATTATTTTTCACTACTACATCTGAATCTGTTTTTTTATTCCACACCCAAGCTCAAAAACTCTCTTTTTGTGAACCATTTGTGGAGACGTATGAGGGGATGTTATGCCTAATACCATTTCAACTGTCAGCTGTGAGCAGGAGTTTAATGCTGTAAAAACTATGGTTCAAAACTTGGTACTTTGGATTGATTTCTAAACCCCCCCCCCCAATAACAGGTACAAAACTCCACATATGGAAAATGAGATTTCACATAACAGAACTGCTGCCTTAAAGTTTTAAATGTGACACATCATTACAAAAGGAGCGGATCACGTTCCTTGAGAATGTCCCAGATGGCAGCCACTTTGAAATTAGCTCAAAACCAGAGACACCTGAAATCTTAATTGGGGGTAAGTAAAGGCAAACTTAATGAGCCATCTAATGGCTTCAGAATCTTTATCAATATAGATCAGAGTGAGCATAAATGAAGCTGCTGCTTTAATAGATCTGCAAAAGACCTTTATAAAATACGTAGGAGACAATGTGAGATGTTTTGACAAAGGTGACGAAACAGAAATTCCCAGGAAGGCAGCTGCTGCTGCTTCATCATTGTAATTTCTTTTTTTGTTCTTTTTTTTTTTTTTTTAATTAAAATTTCCTTACCCAGGGGTATTCCCATTTTCCAGTGTCTGTTATTTTGGTTGACAGCCAATAGTATTTTTGTTTCCTGTGAATAAAGTAGGTTCTGGTTCATGTGTGTCTGTTTTAAATGAGACCACACACAAAGGCAGACCAGGGACGGGTGCAGCAAATGAACTTAATCTAGCGTGAGAGTCTATTTTTAATGAATTAAGGTCTTTTGTTTTTAATATGCAATGTGTAGTCAAGCACTTTGGACCTGAAAATGCTAAGCATTTGCTATGACATACGACAACAAAGGTTCAGAGCTTGATTAAGGTCATTAGGCAGTGTCAAATGAGTGCTTTCTACTAAATGGGGGCCAGAACAACTTTCCTGGGTGAAGTCATTTGTCAGTATCCTCTTCTGATGCCAATATGGGGTATTATTAGGGTTGCACACCAAACTATTTGTTATAACCTAGCCTGTTGAGCCACCTTTTGGACAGCTAACTCAATCGAAAACACCTGAGTAAGAAGCACATATAACACGTGGCATAGCTTGTTGCAGGAATTGAAGTAATTAGCACAACTGACTTGTTGCCTTCCAACCTCACTGCTTACATAGATATATTTAAAGCATCAGATTGTTACCTGTGCCTTTTCATCCTCCTTAGTACTTCTGATGTGCTGCACACATATCCAACTGTTAAAGACCAAAGTAAAACGTTTGGCAGGAGAAGTGTTTATCCCCCACATCCATGGTAGTGTGAAAAGGGATATGTAGCAATGTGCAGGTCTTTCCTTCATGCAATATCTTGGTGCAGGCAGTGATAGTCTTGTGGTTAAACTGTTTTCTAAGATATTGCTGTGGTTGCAACAAGGGAAAATGCTAGAGCCGTGCTCTTAAAAATTGGTTTAATGTCATTGCCAAACTTCAGCTGATTAGGCCGGGTCTGACATATGTTCAGATAAGTTAGCCGCAGATGAAGGCTTGGATGTCATTGGTGGTGCTTTCTGCCTTGGTTAGAAACTAGTATTAGTTCTGGGTAGATATCTCTCATGTCATGTGCGATGTTCTGCATGTAACTCTTCCCATTACTGTCTTTTTCAGCATGCTTAAACTTAAAATGAACAGTTCTCACTAAGAGAAGATACTGTCTAAACACTTTCAGTATTTGTTTGCAAGAGAACTGTTCTCTGGTAATGTAGAGTAAAACGTGTGAGTGGTTCGTACGTGCTTATGGATTACGGTATGATCTCACAATACATGTCATAGATTAATTCGGGTCAGAGAAGACCCCAGGAGGTCATCTAGTCTTACCTTGTCCGCAAAATACCATTGATAACTTTTCTGACAAATTCAGCAATAAAATTGGCAGGGTTTTGTGCTTTTAATTATATATGTCTTTGGGGAGGGGGAGATTTTAGAAGCTTTCTAAAACTTTGATGTGGAATTTTGGTCCTAATCAGAATTATTTTAATTGAGTTAGGGTTTATAGCAGGGTTAAAATGGTGAAAGGACAAAAATTAATCAACTGAATCACTTGGTCTTCATATAGCTACTGACTTCAAAAGGATATTTTCCCAGCTAAGAAACCATATGAACATTTAGTTGGAATAGAGAAATCCCTCTTGCTGTTTCAGTCAAGGATTTCATCTTTTTAAAGCACGTAGTTCCCTTTTAACTTCAGACCTTCTAATTCATGGAAAATTAGGGATGATGTGGTGCTGCATATTGCAGCAGATATAGCAGAGGTTTGGTTGACTGTGTTAAAATTGCAGCCCTGTTACTGACCCTTTTGAGTGTGGGTGTAGGAACCCCATAATACTCAGTGTTTAGATCCAGAATGCCCAGCCATGGGACGCCTGCGTGCTGCTCAGATGGATATGCTTATTTCCCCGCTTGCGTTTCGTATGCATCTCAAATGACCATCAGTCTATCTGAGACTATTACATGGCTTTGAACACAAGGAATTTGGTGGAAGGAGCAGACAGGAGCATTGGCTTAAGCAATGTGGTTTTTCTGCAGTGTAGCTTCCAGGTGTGGGGAGAAGCTTCTCAACCACAGCCTGGATGACAGGGCATCTTGCCAACATGGAGGAGGAGATGGAGAGACATTGATCTATTAGAAAATTGACCTTATGCAAAGGGAGGCGGGCGTTAGTCATCAGCTCCTGTGAGTTGATGTCTGGGGAAAGCAGGTTCTCCACAAGTGAGCTGTACTCTGCTTCCCTGGGGGACAGGGAGGCACCGAGTCTAAATTACGTCTCCCCGCTGCTCGGAGGAAATTCCAAGTTATAGGTAAAAGGGTAGGCTTAGGTCTCTGTTTCTTTAAAACTAATTCTTTGAATTCCTCCCAACTAAATAAATCCTACTTTGATTTCATTCTGTGGCACAATGGAAGGTTTTCTCTGCAGGCTCCTGAAGGAAAATGTTTGCAGGTGCCAAGTGTTTTGTTAGGCAGGCTGGATCGGGAGCTGGAAGATGCAGTTAGGGAGTTGTTGGGTTATCGGTCCCATCACAAAAGCAAAAAGGGATAGGCGTTACTCTACTTGAAAGGGCTTGTGGACTGGAAAAGGGCCTCAGGAGGAGCAGCGTGCACAAGATACAGTTGCGTAGACAACTTTGAAATTGCATGCAGCCGGCTACAGTTCCTCTAATAATGGTTGGCTAATTTCCTCAAGAAGGATGATTGCAGGATTAGGTATTTCTCACACCAGCACAGCAGTTCAAAGGTGGAGAGAAGTGCACATCTGGGCCAGCATACCTGGGAATGTCATGTTTGTCTTTGGATGCCTGAGACGGACAATTAAGTTCTAATTTACATTTAGAAAAACAGAGTTAGCCATGATTATTTGTAACCAGACTTCTTCATGAAGGACAGTCTTGTTTCCTTAGCTGGAGCAAACGAGCTCCAGTGCATCAGAAAACAGTTACTGGTCCGTGCTGTGTTTCGTTAACATGGTCAGATAAAAACTGCTCTGCATGCCTTTTGCCTGAAATGAGCAGGGGAGAAAATGGTATAGATGCCTTTTTCTTGGGGCTCAAATTTCAAAACAGATCTGGCAGTAGTGCATAGTAAGCAGGCATCACTAGAAATACTATACCCTGCTTTAGTGCTGTCTTCCTCGCTTACCAGAAATACAGAAGAATGTTTTGCTTCTCAATTTGCAATGGATAATTTAGCAGAGTAATTTCCTTACATGTGTAGTAACAAAGATGATGCAGGAAAAGATTGTAGATGGGGTTTTTTTTCTTATTATTTCAGGATATAGTTCAATGCAGTGTTTGTACAT